TGGGCCACATCAGCATTATGGTTGCCCTCAAAGGGCCAGTTGTATCTGTAAGACTAGATGTCCAGAGCACCCCACCCTCCCTTACATCACAGGGAACCCCCTTACCTTGTGCTTCTGCCAGGAAGAAGCTGGGGGTGAAGCTGGGAAGCACAAATTGCAGGGTCTGGAGGAGGACCAATGGAGGGCTGGAGTCAGCTGCTGGAGTCTACAAGGAGAGACAAGGGGGTGCTGCGCTTACTGCTGAGACAAGGTGGAAACGAGGGGGTATAAAAGCTGCAGGAGAGGTCTGAGGGCCACATGAAATGGGCTTGAGGGCCATATTTGGCCCCCGGGCCTTGTATTTGACACCTGTGCCTTAGGACAAGGCTGAGTTTGCCAATAGGGAATACTTGACTTTAAGGCAGGCCTCTACTCTTAGAGATGAGTGTACACCATGTATACTTGCACCACAACTGTTCTCCAGTTCCTCTCGGGTCCCCATGTAAATGTACATCTTCCCACTGTAGCTTCACCACTGCGCTCCCTCTTCCCCTGCGCCACCGGGACAGACCTGATGGATTCTGATTGGTCAGCACTGTCTGCCTGGACGGACCGGATGGATTCTGATTGGTCAGCACTGTCCATGTGACAAAACTGTGAAGCAGCCCTTAGGGGGTTTAGTTCCACTATAACATAAGGTATAGCTCAACAGTCTTTAAGTCTAGGTTCACACCTATGCAGGTTGTGTTTTTGCACTTGCGTTTTTGATGCGGTTTTCTTTTTTTTGTTTTCTTGTTGCTAGGCAGATTTTAAACGCATCAAAATAATGCTTTTCTGCAGCTTTCCCATTGAAGTCTATAGAACCAAAAGCGCAACATTTTACATTGAAAAAAAGCCCCTGACCCAGGGGCGGACTGACAACTCATGGGGCCCCCGGGCAATAGGGGATCATGGGGCCCCTGTGTCCTCACCCACACTCAAAAAAGCCTATGAAAAAGGTACCAGGGGCATCTCATAGGGCCCCCTACTGACCCCGGGCCCTCGGGCAGTGCCCGAGTTTCCAAATGGTCAGTCCGCCCCTGCCCTGACCCTTTCCAAAAACACACTGAGTGAAAATGTGGAGATGTGAACCTGTCCCATAGGAAATCATGTTAAATGACTGTACTGCCTTTCTTCAAAATGCTGCGGAAAACACTTTGGTGTGAACCTGGGGTAAAAGAAACATTTTTTTTAAATTACAAGTAAAAAAATTTAACTTTTCTCATTTCTGACCATCATAAGAACAGAGACTTTGGTTTCTAGGTGTTGATAATATGGAGGAGTAGAAAGGGAGGATAGGTATTTGGAATGGAGTTGGAGGAACTGAAATAGGAGGCCTTCACTTTCTATTTCAAAAAGGGACTTTTAGCCTCACGGTGTGGGAAACCCACGATCTCTGCACGTTTCCCGCACCGTGATCAAAACGCACTACCCTTGTGGTCTGCAGTGGGTGTCAGTGCAATGGTAACGACACCCCAAACGCAGGTTGGATCGCATGGTACAAAACTACCATGAGATCCAGTTGCAGTGCGCTTCCACAAGAAGTTCATACTACTTTGGTGGGATACTCTGCAATTTTAGCCGATTTAGAATGAATGGTCTCCAATCACACTGCACTGAATCGTTTGAGAATTGCAGAGGAACGAGTTGCGCATTCCGGCGTGATTCATAGCTGGTTCATAGCGTGGACCGAGACTTTCTGAATTTACTGATGCTGATCATTTGTTACATAGTTGCATAGCAGGGGCGGACTGACAACTCATGGGGCCCCCGGGCAATAGGGGATCATGGGGCCCCTGTGTCCTTGCCCAAACTCAAAAAAGCCTATGATAAAGGTACCAGGGGCAGCTCATGGGGCCCCCTACTGACCCCGGGCCCTTGGGCAGTGCCCGAGTTTCCAAATGGTCAGTCCGCCCCTGTTGCATAGTCATGTTGAAAAAAAGAGACAATTCCATCTTGTTCAACCAGAAGAAAATGTAAAGAAATAGAAACCCTCCATATACACAATCCTATACCTACAAGTCTTCTGGGGGAAGGTAAAAATAAACCTCTATACATCAAGGTCCAATTTGCTCCAGCGGCAGGGCCGGATCTGATCTGGGGGTGCAGGATAAAAAGTCAGAGGGCATAACGAGTCACAACCTGGAAATAACGTCTGACAGGTAATGCAGAGCCATTGCAGGAGGGAACAAGGAACACAAGTATGTATTAGGCTGTCATTAGATTGGAATGATTAAACAGAAGCTGTGGTTCCTTGTGTCCATATCAGATGTCCCCCTTACATCGGGGCCCTCATCGGAGTCTTTCTTTACATCAGCTGTCCAAATCGGAGCGCCTCCTTATGTCAGCTGTTTACATCAGAGTACCTTTTATATCAAATGTCCCCATCAAAGCCCCCTTACATCGTTATTCAACATCAGAGTCCCCCTTGCATCGGTTGCCCCATCAGAGTCCCTCCTTACATCAGTTGTCCCCATCAGAGTGCCCCCTTACATCAGTTGTCCGCATCAGAGTGCCCCCTTACATCAGTTGTCCACATCAGAGTGCCCCCTTACATCAGTTGTCCGCATCAGAGTGCCCCCTTACATCAGTTGTCCGCATCAGAGTGCCCCCTTACATCAGTTGTCCGCATCAGAGTGCCCCCTTACATCAGTTGCCCCCATCAGAGTTCCTCCTTACATCAGTTGTCCCCATCAGAGTGCCTCCTTACATCAGTTGTCCCCATCAGAGTGCCTCCTTACATCAGTTGCCCCCATCAGAGTGCCTCCTTACATCAGTTGTCCCCATCAGAGTGCCTCCTTACATCAGTTGCCCCATCAGAGTCCCCCTTGCATCAGTTGTCCCCATCAGAGTTCCTCCTTACATCAGTTGTCCCCATCAGCGTCAGAGTGCCTCCTTACATCAGTTGTCCCCATCAGAGTGCCCCCTTACATCAGTTGTCCCCATCAGAGTGCCCTCTTACATCAGTTGCCCCCATTAGAGTGCCCCTTACATCAGTTGCCCCCATTAGAGTGCCCCTTACATCAGCTGCCCCCATCAGAGTGCCCCCTTACATCAGTTGTCCCCATCAGAGTGCCCCCTTACATCAGTTGTCCCCATCAGAGTGCCCCCTTACTCAGTTGTCCCCATCAGAGTGCCCCCTTACTCAGTTGTCCCCATCAGAGTGCCCCCTTACTCAGTTGTCCCCATCAGAGTGCCCCCTTACTCAGTTGTCCCCATCAGAGTGCCCCCTTACTCAGTTGTCCCCATCAGAGTGCCCCCTTACTCAGTTGTCCCCATCAGAGTGCCCCCTTACATCAGTTGTCCCCATCAGAGTGCCCCCTTACATCAGTTGCCCCCATCAGAGTGCCCCCTTACATCAGTTGTCCCCATCAGAGTGCCCCCTTACATCAGTTGTCCCCATCAGAGTGCCCCCTTACATCAGTTGTCCCCATCAGAGTGCCCCCTTACATCAGTTGTCCCCATCAGAGTGCCCCCTTACATCAGTTGTCCCCATCAGAGTGCCCCCTTACATCAGTTGTCCCCATCAGAGTGCCCCCTTACATCAGTTGTCCCCATCAGAGTGCCCCCTTACATCAGTTGTCCCCATCAGAGTGCCCCTTACATCAGTTGTCCCCATCAGAGTGCCCCTTACATCAGTTGTCCCCATCAGAGTGCCCCCTTACATCAGTTGTCCCCCATCAGAGTGCCCCCTTACATCAGTTGTCCCCATCAGAGTGCCCCCTTACATCAGTTGTCCCCATCAGAGTGCCCCCCTTACATCAGTTGTCCCCATCAGAGTGCCCCCTTACATCAGTTGTCCCCATCACAGTGCCCCCTTACATCAGTTGTCCCCATCACAGTGCCCCCTTACATCAGTTGTCCCCATCAGAGTGCCCTCTAACATCAACTGTCCCCATCAGGGGGATTGGGGGTATTTGTGCTAGGAGAGGGGGACTGGGAGTTTGTGTTAGGAGGGGGGACAGGGGGGATGTTAAGAGAGGGGATTTGGGGGGGGGGGCAGATGTTAGGAGAGGGATTTTTGCTAGGAGAGGGGACTGGGGTGGATTTGTGCTAGGGGAGGGGACTGGGGGGGATATGTGCTAGGAGAGGGGATTGGGGGGGATTTGTGCTAGGGGAGGGGACTGGGGGGATTTGTGCTAGGGGAGGGGACTGGGGGGATTTGTGCTAGGGGAGGGGACTGGGGGGGGGGAATTTGTGCTAGGGAGGGGGACTGGGGGGGGGGGGAATTTGTGCTAGGGGAGGGGACTGGGGGGGGGGGGGATTTGTGCTAGGGGAGGGGACATGGGGGGGGGGGGGGGGGGGGGATTTGTGCTAGGAGAGGGGACTGGGAGAGATTTGTGCTAGGATGGGGGATTTGTGTTGGGATAGAATGGAGATGGAATAGAACCCCTGTCAGATTTTTATAGCAGTCTGTGCCCCCATTAGGGAGATTCACCCTCTATTCATCCTGCTTACCATCATCAGCAAAAGTGAAAGTGAATTTTGGGTTGACACCAGAATAGAAACGGAGGGGACATGTTCTGTTTTCGAATGCCACTTTCTGTATCAGACCCAGTCTGTCTGCACAGTATGGTCACTTGATGACTTGGCACCATCCACAGGCAGCTTAACTCTCCAATAAGAGGTTGAATTGAATGAATGCAATTTTATTTCAGCCAATTGCAAAATAGAGGATGTTTTATTTCCAGTCTTTGGAAGTGTAAGAAGACAATGACTTCCCTAAGCTCTGTCTAATAGTGATGGAAGAGAGAGTCTAGCTAGGACTGAACTAACTAGCATTAATGTGACGGTCAGGCATGGAGGCGTGTAGCTAGAGAAGTAGAGAGACTCCCACCGACCAGAAGGGAGATCACGGCGTGGCACTCTTCAGGGGGTATGACAAGCTGGAGTCCATCTATGGCAGACATTTTTTGAGTTCTCTGACCTCTATGGTGGTGGAGATGTGGTCAGATGACGTCTTTTGTTGTCTTTCCGTACAGTTTGGAAGAACCGCATTTCACCTGGCGGCTGAACATGGCCAGACAGAGGTGGTGGAGTTCCTGATCGGATCTGGGTGTCAGCACAGCCTGAAAGACAAGGTACTGTCGGTGGTCCCCCCTGATAGTGACGTGACATCCCTGTTCTCCAAAAATCATCCGTGACTTAAAGCGACAGCAACGTCATTTACTGCAAACACAATAGCTGGCAATAATGGAGCCTTCCAGGGCAGCGCTATCAGGGATCCCCCCCGGCGCTTCCATCGTTCCTGGTGTTCATTCTGGCTTTCGGATTTCAGGTTTCAGCTGCTTGAATGGCCAGGCTGCAAGTGATGTCACACTCAAGTCACACCAGGCACAGAGAGCACGGGCCGTAAATGTGGTCTGAGCTGCGCATGTGCGGCTTCGATCACATTACCTGCTGCCAGGCGGGGGGGGGGGGGGTCATTTATGGCAGAAGAGGCCACTAGGTCGCCCGTCAGCAAATTTTACATTCCAAGACTTTACCACTTACCGGCCCTCTAATCCAATGTTCATGGTATTGTTCCTCAGGCCCCTTCCACACGGGCGCTCCGGATTTTTCGTCAGTTCCAAGAAAAAAACGGATCAGTTCACATCCGTTTACGTCAGTTTTTCAACCCTTTCTGTTTGTTTATATAATTTTTCGTATGTTTACATCCATTTTTTGTCCGTTTACATCATTTTCCATAGGCTTATATCTGTTTTTTATACGTTTACATCCTTTTTTCAATTTAGATCTTTTTGTCCATTTACATCTGTTTTTCGTCCGTTTAAATCCATTTTCCTCCATTCAAATCCATTTTCATCCATTCACATCCGTTTTTTTGTCTGTTTACATCTGTTTTTTGTCCGTTTTTCATTCTTTTTTTGTCCGTTTAAATGTTTTTGTCAGTTTATGTTCATTTTTGTCCGTTTATATCAGTTTTTGTCTGTTTACATAATTTTTTGTACGTTTACATACATTTTTTGTTTCCTACATTTTTTTACATTTACATCAGTTTTAGTCCATTTACATCTGTTTTTCATCTGTCTACATCCATATTCATCTGTTTACATCAGTTTTTGTCTGTTTACATCTGTTTTTGTCCATTTAAATCCATTTTTTGTCCATTTACATTATTTTTGTGTCCGTTTACATCATTTTTCCATAGGCTTACATCCGTTTTTTCATACGTTTACATCCATTTTTTCTATTTAGATCTTTTTGTCTTATTTACATCTGTTTTTGTCCATTCGCATCCATCATCGTTTTTCTTTTCATCGTTTTTCTCATCCATTTTGTTTTTACATGTTTTTTCAGTTTATGTCCATTTTTGTCCGTTTACATCAGTTTTTGTCCATTTACATTCATTTTCATCTGTTTACATCAGTTTTTGTCTGTTTATATCAGTTTTTGTCCGTTTAAATCTATTTTTGTCCATTTACATAATTTTTTTGTCCGTTAACATCATTTTCCATAGGCTTATATCCGTTTTTCGTACGTTTACATCCATTTTCCCATTTAGATTTTTTTTGTCCCTTTACATCTGGTTTTCGCCCATTTTAAATCCATTTTCGTCCACTCGCATCCCTTTTTTTGGCAGTTTACATCTGTTTTCTGTCTGTTTTTCAGCTGTTTTTTGTGAGTTTACATCTGTTTTTGTCAGTTTATATCCATTTTTGTCCGTTGACATCAATTTTTTGTCTATTTACATCCATTTTTTTCGTCTGCATCCATTTTTTTCATCAGTTTACATCTGTTTTTTGTCAGTTTATATCCATTTTTCGTACGTTTACATCCATTTTTTGTGCGTTTACATCAGTTTTTTCATTTACATCTATTTTTTTGTCTGTTTACATCATTTTTCGTATGTTTACATCCATTTTTTGTCCATTTACATAAGTTTTAGTCTGTTTACATAAATTTTTTTCGTCTGTCTACATCCATTTGTCATCTGTTTACATCAGTTTTTGTCTATTTACATCCGTTTTTTGTCAGTTTAAATTCATTTTCGTCCGTTTACATCCTTTTTTCTGTCTGTTTTTCATCGTCTACGTCTGGTTTTTTGTCCATGTACATCCGTTTTTCATCCGTTCCATTTTTATTAATGGAAAAGAAATAGGGTTTTCTTTCGTTCAAAAAATGGATGTTAACAGATGCGGATATTAACGGATGTAAACAGATGATCATCCGTTTACATCCGCTAGTCCATAGATATACATGGGGGTCCATTTTTCATCCGTAAACAGACAGATAAAAAACGGACATATGGAATGCCGTACTGTGTTTTTCTAACTTTTTGTAACATTTTCTGGGAGCTCACAAAACTCCTTTTTCCCCATCACTGTGGTCCTGTACACGGCTCTATGCACCGTACAGATGCCATAATTCATTGTACTTCTCGGGAGGGAGCAAGAGGAGGGTGGCTACGTTCCTATATAGAGAGACAATGGAGAACGAAGGTAGCCACCCTCTAACAGGAAGTCAGGTCACAGGAGCACAAATAATGGAATTCAGCAATTTGGAAGAGCCAGAGATCAATAGAAGGGACTTTTTGACTTAAAATGAAATTAAACTGTATTGGAGCACCACAAACGAGACATGAGCGTTTTGTTCTGAATTTGAATTCGGACAAATTTTTCATCATTCTGATATTCCGATGTCTCAGAATTTCCAAATTACAATAGTAAGGAATCCAAACTCAAAAAACAAAATTAGGATGAAATTTTAAGCGACTTTGAATCTAATTTTAATTGAATTCAAATTGAAGTCAAATCGACTTTAAATATGAAAAGAATAGAATGGAGCATAAAATAATAAAATAGAATGGATTGGAATAGAAAAAAAATAGAATAGACACTAAAAGAACAGAATAGAAAAGAAAAAAACAATAGAATATAACTGTCTTCTGAAATTAAGATTTCAAATAGAATAAATTGGAATTCGAATAGAATAGAAAATAATAGGATAGAATAGCGAAGAATAAAACAGAAAAGAGGAGAATAGAAAAGAATAGAATAGAAAAAACAATAGGATAGAGTAAAATAGATTATAACTGTCTTCTGAAATTCGAATTTCGAATAGAATAAATTTGAATAGAATAGCATAGAATAGAAAAACAATAGAATAAAATAGAATAGAACTTTTTTGAATTTCAAATCGAATACATTTGAATAGAATAGATTAGAATAGAAAATAAAAGGACAAAATAGAAAAGTATAGAATAAAATAGAATATAACTGTCTTCCGAAATTCAAATTTTGAACAGAATATATTCGATTTTGCACAGATAAGAATAGAAAATAATAGAATAAAATAGAATATTACCATCTTCTGAAATTTTAATTTCGAATAGAATAAATTAGACTCCAAATAAAATAGATTAGAATAGAAAATAATAGACTAACAAAGAATAGAGTAAAAAATAATAGAATAAAAAAAAAACTATAGAATAGAGTAAAATAGAATATAACTGTTTTTTGAATTTCAAATAGAATACATTTGAATGGAATAGAAAAGCCAATATAATAAAATAGAATATAACTGTCTTCCGAAATTCAAATTTTGAACAGAATAAATTTGAGTTTGGACAGATTAGAATAGAATAAAAAAGAATACAAAATAAGAGAATAGAAAATAATAGAATAGAAAAAAACAAAATAGAATAAAATAGAATATTACCATCTTCCAAAATTTGAAATTTGAATAGAATAAATTAGACTCCGAATAGAATAGAAAATAATAGAATAGAAAAAAAAACAAATAAATATAGTAAAATAGAATATAACTGTTTTTTTTAATTTCAAATAGAATACATTTGAATAGAAAAGAATAGGATAGATTAATAAAACCAATATAATAAAATAGAAAGAATATAACTGTCTTCCGAAAAAAATTTCGAACAGAATAAATTTGAATTTGAACAGATTAGAATAGAATAAAAAAGAAAATAGAATAGAAAAAAAATAAAAAATATTACCATCTTCCAAAGTTGGAATTTCGAATAGAATAAATTAGACTCTGAATAGAATAGATTAGAATAGCAAAGAATAGAATCAAAAATAATTGAATAAAAAAAAAAAAAAGAATAGAGTAAAATAGAATATAACTGTTTTTTTTTTAATTTCAAATTAAATACATTTGAATAGAATAGAAAAAAGCAAATATAATAAAATAGAATATAACTGTCTTCCTAAATTCTAATTTCGAACAGAATAAATTTGACTTTTAACAGATTAGAATAGAAAAGAATAGAATAAAAATGAATACAAGATGAAAGAATAGAAAAGAATAGAATAGAAAAAACAATAACGTATAATAGAATAAAATAGAAAGATTATTACCATCTTCTGAACTTTGAATTTCAAATAGAATAAATTTGAATTTGAATGGCAATTCGAATTTGGTCGAATTAAATTCGAATAGAGTCGAAATTGAAAACGAAAAGAATTCTGAAAGCAAATTAAATGACGTAAATGAAACAAAATTATTAAAAGTAACAAAAAAAAATGTTTTCGTCCTGCACATGTCCACCACAAACAGAAAACGTGATTTTTATTCATTTTTTAATATTCAAAGCAAACTCCCCCATCCACCCGTGTCTCCATGATTGATTTCGCTGAGAAATCTCTTTCAAAGTGCTTTCTTATTCTTAACCACTTCCCGTCCGGCCGTTGTATATAAGCAGCAGGGCGGTGGCACTCCAGGGGCGGGTTGCCGCTCATAAACTGCACCCGCCATTTTGGACTGAGCGCGCAGCACCGCGATCCGATGCCCGCTGTGTCCTCTGGACACAGTGGAACACCGATCGTCGGACGGAACCTCTGATTGGCCAATCAGTGATCACATGCAGAGTAGTAAGCAAGATGTCACTTCTGACATCATTGCTTACTATTAGTGAAATCTGTGAATGATCACAGAGGTCACATAGTACAGGGCTATTCACAACAGCCTTGTACCATGTGACAAGCTGTGACCAATCACAGCTCTCACAGTATTTCTCAATGGCTGCAAGAATGCAGCCAGAGAGAAGGAGAAATGATTGCTTGTACAGCCTTTATGGGCGTAAAAGCAATCCGTGTAAAAAAAAAAACCTTCATCACCCCCCACAAGTAGTACAGTGTCACCATGGTGACACTGTACTGCTAGGGTGACAGTATGTAAAAAGAAAACCATAAAAATAATAATATAAAAAAATAAAAAATGTAAAAAAAAATGTTTTAAATTATAATTTTTGGTTATAAAACTAATTTGGGTTTTTTTTTTTTACTAATAAGATAACTGAATACATTTTGGCCAAGATTTAGGATGAAATATTATTTTATTTGCCAAATTTTATAAGAAAATCACTTTTTAAAAAAAATTTTTTGGACTTTTTCATTTATATAGCAAAAAAAATAAAAATCCCAGCGGTGAATAAATACCACCAAAATAAAGTTTTATCTGTCTCAAAAAAATGCTAAAAAATTCATATGGGTACAGTGTTGCATGACCGCGCAATTGTCATTCAAAGTGCGACAGTGGTGAAAGCTGAAAATTGGCCTGGGCAGGAAGGGGGTAAAAGTGGTTAACAAAAATAATGCATGGAGACGGGGAACACAAATGGTGGAAGGTCTGGGGGGGGATAAAGCAGATGAAGAGCGACTTCAGGAACTTCACATGTCCAGTGTGGAGGAAAGAAGGGAAAGGGGAGACATGATGGAAACCTTTAAATACATCAAGGGGGTGAATACTGTTAAGGAGGGAAGTGTTTTCAACACAAAATCAAAATCAAGAACACGGGGACCTCCAACTGACTGGAGGAAAGTTCAGAACTACAGAAAGTACTATTTTACTGAAAGAGTAGTAGATGCCGGGAATAAACCTCCAGCAGAGGTAGTGAGCCAGACAACAGTAAATAGCTTCAATCATTCCTGGGACAATCATAGATCTAGACCAGTGGTCTCCAAACTGTGGCCCTTTGCTTGCCTTTATTCAGCCCTTGGGACACTATTTAATTCACGGACACCATCGAAGGGGCACAATTCCTCCTAATGACACCAACAATGGGGTACAGTTCCTCCCAATGCCACCAACCCAATGGAGCCCAATGATGCGCCAAAAATTCCTACACAATGGTGCCAACGATGGGGCACAGTTCCTCCCAATGATACCAACAATGGGGTCTAATGACACCAATGATGGGGCAAGATTCCTACCCAATGATACCAACAAATGGGGACCAATGACAACAATGATAAGGCACAATTCCTCCCAATGACACCAGTGATGAGCCACAATGCCTGCCAATGACACCAAAAATGGGGCACAATTTCTGCTAAGGACTCCAGTTATAGGGCACAGTTCCTCCCAATGACACCAACAATAGGGCCCAATGACATCAATGATAGGACACAATTCCTACCAATGACAACAACAAATGGGATAGAGTTCCTCCTAATGATACCAACAATGGGGCCTTATTGAAACCAATGATGGGGAAAATATCCTACACAATGGGGCACAGTTCCTCCCAATGACACCAACAATGGGGACCAATGACAACAATGATAAGGCACAATTCCTCCCAATGACACCAGTGATGAGGCACAATGCCTCAAATGACACCAACAATGGGGCGCAATTCCTGCTAAGGACTCCAGTTATAGGGCACAATTCCTACCAATGACACCAACAATAGGGCCCAATGACACCAATGATGGAGCACAGTTCCTACCAATGACAAACAACAATGGGGCAGAGTTCCTTCTAATGATACCAACAATGGGGCCCAGTGAGACCAACGGTGGGGCATAATGCCTACCAATGTCACCAATAATCGGGCACAGTTCCACTCACTGACACCAAAGATGGGGCGTTATTTACTCCAACTGATGCAGGAACATTTTCTACCTTCGATGGCCCCCGTAAAGTCTGAAGGACAGTAAACTGGCCCCTTGTCTTGAAAGTTTGGAGACCCCTGATCTAGACAAAAAAAAAAAAATAATAAAAAAAACCCACAAAAAAACCCCCCCCGACAAATCAAACAAAAAACCCCCCCCAAACAAATCAAAAAAACAAATCAAACAAAAAACCCCCCACAAATCACACAAAAAACCCACAAATAAACAAAAAAAACCCCCACAAAAAACAAAAAGAAACCAACCTTCTCCCCCAAAAAAAACACAAAAAAACGAACAGACAAAAAACAACCCTCCCCCTCCCAAAAAAATACCCAAAAAACCAGCAGACTCGATGGACCACTCGGTCTTTTCCTGCCGTCACTTTTCGATGTCTCTATGGATGGATGGGGGGGGTTTGCTGTGAATTTTCGGTGTTTTTTGGTTTGTGGTGCTCACGTACAGTCAGCTCCTCCCTTTAATAAACTGATAGGACTGAGTTCTTGGACTGGAGGCCATGCAGCACTACCCTACTACATAATCATTTTTCCATTGGCTTCCTTGTGGTGTCACTGTGATCATATCTCTCTGAATTTCAGGAGGACAACACGGCTCTCCATCTGGCAGCTAAGAATGGCCACGCGGACGTCCTGCAGAAAATTGTGGAAACCGGAGTGGAGCTGAATGACACCAATCTGGTATGTGAACTCTGCGTGTTCAGAGCCATTCATTCATCTTCTCATCAAATCCCATGTCACCCATAGGCAAGCACTACACAGCAAAGCAGAAGGGCGCCCCTGGAGGCTGCATTCATTATTTGCCCAAAGCTGGATCAGTCCCTAGGGGCGGCAACCTGCGGCATAGTACACACCGGCCCTTCCAGGCTTTCATTTCTGCTCTGTTCTGCTGTGATGCATTTTATTGGTTCATTAAGTATATTGGGTGAGGCAAGCTTTTGAGCCTAGTGTGCCGAAAAATGTTTGTAAAAAAATTAGGAGTGTCAGATATAGAAAACAAAATGTCTACTTCACATTTTCAATTAAAAATAAAAGAATATTACATACATAGTACATTTGGTGCTATAAACTAGATTGTGCAATAATAACCCCCAGCATAGTGTCAATGACACCAATAATAACCCCCAGCATAGTGTCAATGACACCAATAATAACCCCCAGCATAGTGTCAATGACGCCAGTAATAACCCCCAGCATAGTGTCAATGACGCAAATAACAAACCCCATTACTGGTGTCAATGACTGCAAATAACAAACCCCCCATTACTTGATGTCAGTGACTGCAATAATAACCCCCAACATTGGTGTCAATGAGTGAAAAATGACCCTCAACATTGGTATCAGTGACTGCAATAACAACTCCTAACATTGGTGTCAGTGACTGCAATAATAACCCCCAACATTGGTGTCAATGACGCCAATAACAAAACCCAGCACTGGTGTCAGTGACTGCAATAATAACCCCCAAAATTGATGTCAGTGACTGCAATAATAACCCCCAACATTGGTGTCAATGAGTGAAAAATGACCCTCAACATTGGTGTCAGTGACTGCAATAACTACTCCCAACATTGGTGTCAGGGACTTCAATAATAACTTCACAACCTTGGTGTCAGTGACTGCAATAATAACTCCCAACATTAGTGTCAGTGACTGCAATAATGACCCCCAGCTTTGGTGTCAGTGATTGCAATAATAACCCCCAACATTACTGTCAGTGACTGCAATAATAACCCCGGCACTGGTGTCAGTGACTGCAATAATAACCCCCAACATTGGTGTCAGTAACTGCTAAATGAACCCCCAACATTGGTGTCAGTGACTGCAATAATAACCCCCAAGATTGGTGTCAGTGACTGCAAAATAACCCCCAAGATTGGTGTCAGTGACTGCAAATAATAACCCCCAACATTGGTGTCAGTGACTGCAATAATAACCCCAACATTGGTGTCAGTGACTGCAATAATAACCCCCAACATTGGTGTCATAGGCGGTTCACACTCTGCAGTGCAGGACACAGAAGAATCACACCACGTCCCTGTGCGAATGACATGTAAATGTCCTTGTGGTGCGATCTGAGCCATACACTTTGTGTTAGAACACCCATGCGATGCGATTTCTGGCAATCGCACCGTGTTTTGCAATCTGTTTCAGGGTGTCATTAATTTATTAACACCCGCACCAGATCGCATGAGCGTGAGGCGATTGCAGTGCGGTGTGGGAAACGCACAGGATTAGCAGCGTTTCCCGCACCGCATTGGTGTGAACCCGGGCTCAGGATTATATAACTGTATCCCATACATTGCTGGTGAAGGGGAGGGGCCAACATGACTTGTGGCGTCTTTTATGTATATCTCTACTGTTATACTTCCATCTCTACTTGTAGACAAATGTTTCTTCTGCAAATTCTAAAATGCTGCAATTAACTTCCCTATAGGGTTCTGCACAAGTCTTGTGTGCAGGGGCGGACTGACCATTCGAGAACTCGGGCACTGCCCAAGGGCCCGGGGTCAGTAGGGGTCCCATGAGATGCCCCTGCTACCTTTCACAGGCTTTTTTGGGTGTGGTTTGAGTGTGGGCAAGGACACGGGCCCCATGATCCCTTATTGCCCGGGGGCCCCATGAGTTGTCAGTCCGCCCCTGCTTGTGTGTTCATAAATTATCAAATCTCGTTTTAAACATTTCCCTCCTGTACACCCCTTATGGGGGGAGGATCCTCTGCTGATCAGGGCGGAGTCTGTGCCATGTGAAAGTGGCTTTACTGACAGCATCTGCAGATGGACACTCAGCCTTCTGTAGATGGAAGAAAAAGAGTAGATACAAAAGTAGAAATGTTACTGTCTTATGTCTAAACAATGTAACTTTGTATCTCTCTATCCCCCACCTGAACAATGTTTATAAACAATGTAACTTTCTTTCTCTCTATCCTCTGTCGTATCTCTCTATCCCCCACCTGAACAATGTTTTCTAAACAATGTTACTTTGTATCTTTCTGTCTCCCATCTAAGCAATGTTTATAAACAATGTTACTTTGTATGTCTTTATTCCCTGTCGTATCTCTCTATGCCCCACCTGAACAATATTTATAAACATTGTAACTTTGTATCTCTCTATGTCCCGTCTGATCAATGTTTATAAACAGTGTTACTTTGTATCTCTGTATCTCCGTCTGAACAATGTTTCTAAACAATTTTACTTTGTATCTATCTCCCGTCTGAACACGGTTTATAAACAGTGTTACTTTGTATCTCTCTATCCCTGTCTGAACAATGTTTATAAACAATGTTACTTTGTATCTATGTCCCGTCTGAACGATGTTTATAAACAATGTTACTTTGTATACATCTCCCGTCTGAACAATGTTTATAAACAATGTTAATTTGTGTTTCTCTATCCCCCGTCTGAACAATGTTTATAAACAATGTTACTTGTATTTCTATTTCCCGTCTGAACAATGTTTATAAACAATGTTACTTTATATATATCTTTATCCCATCTTATCTCTCTATCCCCCACCTGAACAATGTTTAAAAACATTGTAACTTTGTATCTATCTCACGCCTGATCAATGTTTATAAACAATGTTACTTTGTATCTATCTCCCGTCTGAACAATGTTTCTAAACAGTGTTACTTGTATCTCTCCATTTCCCATCTGAGCAATGTTTATAAACAATGTTACTTTGTATCTCTTTATTCCCTGTCATATCTCTCTTTCCCCCACCTGAACAATATTTATATAAACATTGTAACTTTGTATCTCTCTATGTCCCGTCTGAACAATGTTTCTAAACAATGTTACTTTGTATCTCTCGATCTCCCGTCTGAACAATGTTTATAAACAATGTTACTTTGTATCTCATTATCTCCTGTCTGATCAATGTTTATAAACAATGTAATCCAAGAAAAAAACAAAAAATGTACCAACACATTTTCTAAAAAGATGTATTACACTAATTTAAAGGACAAAACAAATATCCATTAAAACCAATATACAGTCATCAGTCATATATACAAACATTGTTCCACATAGACATAATGTTCTTTTAATTCCAATATTAAAAAAAAAGTCAATGCGTTTCGCATATGTGCTTCCTCAGGACCTTCATTCAGAGTTGTTTTAACCTCTTCCTGTCCGGCCCATGCCAATAAACGGCCAGACAAGAGCACTGCTGATGCGGGGGAATGTTTCTAAACATCCCCCCGCATCCATTGCCTCTGCACGCTCCTTGGGAGCGCACAGCACTGTGATCTGTGCCCGCTACATCCGGTGGACACAGATTGCTGTATGGGACCTCTGTGTGAGGTCCCAATTCATGTGATCCCTGATTGGCCAATCAGTGACCACAGTAAATAAGATGTCATTTCCTGACATTGTTTTCTACTAGTGAAATCTGTGAATGATCACCAAGATCACATGTTACAGGGCTATTCACAACAGCTTTATACCATGTGACAAGCTGTGACCAATCACAGCTCTCACAGTATTTCTCAATGGCTGCAGGAATGCAGCCAGAGAGAAGGAGAAATTATTACTCCTATATGGATGTCTTCCAAGTCACACCTAAAATAGCACTGGCATGCGACTTAAAGTGAAGTCACACAGTTTCAAAGTCGGATTTGGTGTGAACCTGGGCATCTCCTCTCTGAACAATGTTTGCAAACATTGTTACTCTCTATTAACCACTTTCCTGCCACCCTATAGCAGAAATACTGCTACGCAGCAGCAGGGATGCGCAAAAAAAGCACGTATATGTCAGTGATTTTGCAGTTCTGGGTAGGGGGTGCGCGCTCCCTACCCGCGCCGCCATTGGCGACCTCAACTGTCAATCACCGGCACTGATCACTGTATTGGTGTCACTAGGGATGTCATTGACAGTTCTCCCCCCCAGTGTCAGAATGCCTGCCGCATTCCGCAATAAGTCGCTGATCGCCGCCATTACTAGTATAAAAAAATTCCAGTATCTATACCGCCATTTGTAAACGCTATAACTTTGACATAAACCAATTAATTTACACGTATCAGGATTTTTTTTGAGCAAAGACATGGAGCAGAATACACTTTCGCCTAAATTTATGACGAAATTTATTTTTTTTTATTTTTTTTCTGGACATGTTTAATAGCAAAAAGTCAAATATATTTTTTTTTTTCTCAAAATTGTTGGTCTTTTGTTTTTATAGTGCAAAAATTAGAAATGCACAGACAAGCAAATACCACTGAAAGAAAGCTCAATTCCTGGGAGAAAAAAGACGCAAATTTCATTTGGGTGCAGCGTTGCATGACCGCGCAATTGTCAGTTAAAGTAACGCAGCGCCGTAACGCAAAAAATGGCCTGGTCAGGAAGGGGGAGGGGGTAAATCCTCTGGAGGGCAAGGGGTTAAGTGGGTTGACAAACTCTGAGCCAAACAGTTCTTTTGACAGCTGGGGCTGCTGTATGTATGCTTCGTATCCATAGCTGAGTATTGTAGATTTGTGGAAATTGAGAGGGGGGAGGGGCATGGCAGAGGGATATGCTGCACATGTCCTGTGTGCTATGGTGCGTTTTTTTTCTTTTTTGGACAAGAGTAGCACGTTCAGTGTTAACTGATCGCTGTCCCATAATACATTGTTTCGGATATTGTTCAACAATATCTAATGACAAAGCCAAGCCATGGAATGCTTCTATAGAGGTAGTATGAAGACATGGCTGGCAGACCTCTAAGTGGAAAAACCTGTCTATGAATAGAACCTCCATTGTGTTAGATGACAGGTCCGTGATGATGTGCTGCAGTCAGTATTGTGTAATGCGCAGAGCCTTTTGCAGTTTCTGAAATGATTCTATTATGAGATCATAGACTTAATAATGGCACACAATGCCAGGCTGCAGTCTCTAAAGCTTGCCAAATCCTTTCTTGTGTAAAAGAGGCGTAGACACCAGAGAGAGAGATACATCATCTGTACAAATCATAAGTAACACCTCATCTGGTATATGCAGTTCAGTTCTGGGCTCTGGTTTACAAAAATGTTATCAGGGAACTGGAGAAAGTACAGAGAAGGGCAACCAAACTGATAAAAGGAAGGGAGGAGCTCAGCTATGTGGAAAGATTAGAGGAACTGAATTTATTCTCTCATCGAGAAGAGGAGATTACATAAGGGGGGATATGATCACCATGTATAATACATAAGGGGGGGGGATATGATCACCATGTATAATACATAAGGGGTGATATGATCTCCATGTATAATACATAAGGGGGGATATGATCTCCATGTATAATACATAAGGGGGGGATATGATCTCCATGTATAATACATAAGGGGGGATATGATCTCCATGTATAATACATAAGGGGGGGATATGATCTCCATGTATAATACATAAGGGGGGGATATGATCTCCATGTATAAATACATAAGGGGGGATATGATCTCCATGTATAATACATAAGGGGGATATGATCTCCATGTATAATACATAAGGGGGGATATGTATAATACATAAGGGGGGATATGATCTCCATGTATAATCACCATAAGGGGGATATGATCTCCATGTATAATACATAAGGGGGGATATGATCACCATGTATAATACATAAGGGGGGATATGATCTCCATGTATAATACATAAGGGGGGATATGATCACCATGTATAATACATAAGGGGGGATATGATCACCATGTATAATACATAAGGGGGGATATGATCTCCATGTGTAATACATAAGGGGGGATATGATCTCCATGTATCCAATACATAAGGGGGGATATGATCTCCATGTATAATACATAAGGGGGATATGATCTCCATGTATAATACATAAGGGGGGATATGATCTTCATAAGGGGGGATATGATCTCCATGTATAATACATAATGGAGGGGGGATATGATCACCATGTATAATACATAAGGGGGGATATGATCACCATGTATAATACATAAGGGGGGGATATGATCTCCATGTATAATACATAAGAGGGGATAGGATTTCCATGTATACATGTATATACATAGGTGGTCCATGTAGTGAACTTGGTGTTTGAGTGTATTCACTGTCAGGTTGTTACAGAAGACAAGGGAGCTCTCCATATGTCTGGAGGAAAATAGATTTCACCTCCACACACACAGAAAGGCTTCTTCACAGTAAGAGCTGTGAAAATGTGGAATAGACTCCCTCAAGAACTAGTTCTGGCCAGGTCATTAAATTGTTCTAAAAAAGAGCTGAATGCATTTCTAAATGTTCAAAATATAACTGGATATTGAGATTTATGGTGTAATAACACCAGGGATTGTAGATCCAGGAATATCCAATTGCTTCCGGGGGGCATCAGGAAGGATAGGAAAGATGTTTTATTGTTCCCCACTGTAGGAAATTAGATCATGCTTTATTGTTTGTTTATTGCCTTTGTCTGGATCAACTCTAGGTATAGGATTGTGTATATGGAGGTTTACTGTGTATTTTTTACTTTTTTCTGTTGGTTGAACTAAATGGTCTTTTTTCAACCTAACAATGTAAATCTTCCTATTATATGTCTGTAGGAGGGGAATACAGCTTTGCATATGGCTACAGAAGGAGGGCACTTTGACTGCATTAGAATTTTGCTGGAAGCTGGGAGTGATGTCAACATGCAGAACGAGGTAATGTGATCTGTCTGAGAGGACAATATAGACAAAATTTTTTGAATGCTTTCTCTGTGGTGCAGCTCTACAATTTGGGATGTTTCAGTATGAAATATGTTGGTATAAAGAGTGCTCCACCAATTCTGGCAGGGGCATAGTGAAGCAAAAAGGAATCTCCCCTTCTCCACCACCCACATTGAGGAGCAGTTCAGCCCTCATCCTTAAAGTGTTCCTTAACCCCAGACCCTGCATTCACTATATCTGGTCTCCCCGGACCCTGCATTCACTATATCTGGTCTCCCCGGACCCTGCATTCACTATATCTGGTCTCCCCGGACCCTGCATTCACTATATCTGGTCTCCCCGGACCCTGCATTCACTATATCTGGTCTCCCCGGACCCTGCATTCACTATATCTGGTCTCCCCGGACTCTGCATTCACTATATCTGGTCTCCCGGAACCTGCATTCACTATATCTGGTCTCCCCGGACCCTGCATTCACTATATCTGGTCTCCCCGGACCCTGCATTCACTATATCTGGTCTCCCCGGACCCTGCATTCACTATATCTGGTCTCCCCAGACCCTGCATTCACTATATCTGGTCTCCCCGGACCTGCATTCACTATATCTGGTCTCCCCGGACCCTGCATTCACTATATCTGGTCTCCCCGGAACCCGCATTTACTATATCTGGTCTCCCCGGACCCCGCATTCACTATATCTGCTCTCCCCAGACCCCGCATTCACTATATCTGCTCTCCCCAGACCCCGCATTCACTATATCTGCTCTCCCCAGACCCGCATTCGCTATATCTGCTCTCCCCCTGACCCTGCATTCGCTATATCTGCTCTCCCCGGACCCTGCATTCGCTATATCTGCTCTCCCTCCGGACCCTGCTAATCCCTATATCATGCTCTCCCCGGACCCTGCATTCGCTATATCTGCTCTCCCCGGACCCTGCATTCGCTATATCTGCTCTCCCCGGACCCTGCATTCGCTATATTTGCTCTCCCCGGACCCTGCATTCGCTATATCTGCTCTCCCCGGACCCTGCATTCGCTATATCTGGTTTTTCCCTACTAGAACAAATAATAAATAAAATAAATCCTTCATTTTCTGAACTACATTAAAAAATACAGGGCAGCGCTGTTGAACTCAGGTCCTCTAGGGCAGTGGTCCTCAACCACCGGGTCGTGGCCCACTGCCTGACCTGCCTCCTCCTGGCCTTCTAGCTAGCTACAAACATCTAACATCCCGCAGCTCCTCCCAGCTTCCATACTGGCCCATAGTACCCCTCAATCTCTAGCAGTGAACCAAGGCCCCCTAAGAGCCCTCAGTACCCAACAACTTTCCACAGTGCCTCCCAGCTCTCATAATGGCCCATAGTGACCCTCAATCTCTAGCAGTCAACGAAAGCCCACTATGAGCCTTCAGTACCCAACAACCTCCCACAGTGCCTTACAACTCCATAAAGGCCCATAGTGCTGCTTAACCTCTCGCAGTGCCCCCAGACCCCCTAAGAGCCCTCAGTACCCAACAACCTCCCACAGTGCCTCCCAGCTCCCATAATGGCCCATAGTACCCCTCAATCTCTCACAGTGAACCAAGGCCCCCTATGAGCCCTCAGTACAGAACAACCTTCCACAGTGCCTCCCAACTCCCATAAAGGCCCATAGCGCTCATTAACCTCTCTCAGTGCCCTCAGACCCGCTAAGAGCTCTCAGTAACCAAAACCTCTCACACTGCCTCCCAGCCCTGCCACTGTGCCCCCCAGCCCCCACATTGCCCCTGCAAAGTTCCCCAGCTCCCGCCAGAAACTTCATTCCCTACAGGGACACCAAGTTGGCCGTAGAGTCCTCTACTTGCCTCCAGAACCCCTATTCCCCCCCCCCCCCCCCCAGTGATATCCAACTCCATCCAGAGCCTTCAAACCTTTCAAAATATATATTTGTATTCCAATACTGTTATTTTGAGAATATAAACTTTTTTTGTTGTTGGGGAATGGAAGGTTTTGGAAGAATTTACCAGGCCCTGGTCTTACCAAGGTTGAGAACCACTGGTCTAGGGAATTGTTGTATGTCGGCACTGGACTGTAGAATGCAGGTTCTGTTTATTTTTTTTTTATTTTGTTTCCAACTTGTTGGTTTTAGATCTTAGTGTAAATACTGCTGGATAAAACAAAAATGGTGTCTGTCTTCATTTCAGGCTGCAAAGCAACAAAATCTGAATATTTAAAAGGGGGGAGGGAGGGGGTGATTAATAAATTAATTACAGAGGGTACAGAAAATAGTTATTTTGGAATGTAATGAAATTTCCAGCACTTTTTATGGCTCTGATCTCTGATCTGATCTTTGTAACCTGGTATTGACTGTGTCTTTAACAATGTGTCTTCTTGAAATAGATCATCCTTTAGACAGATAGAAGTTAAGTGACCATTACTATCTGCCAGTAAACTATTACACTTTGAGAATGTATAGCCTTTAACCAGTAAATATTTTATATCCTCCTCCACTTCAGGAAAAAGTGTGATACGAAAAAAAGAATGGGTCACTCGTCCTCCCACTGATACCAATGATGGGTCACTAGTCCTCCCACTGATACCAATGATGGGTCACTAGTCCTCCCACTGATACCAATGATGGGTCACTAGTCCTCCCACTGATACCAATGATGGGTCACTAGTCCTCCCACTGATACCAATGATGGGTCACTATTCCTCCCACTGATACCAATGATGGGTCACTAGTCCCTCCCACAGATACCAATGATGGGTCACTATTCCTCCCACAGATACCAATGATGGGTCACTAGTCCTCCCACAGATACCAATGATGGGTCACTAGTCCTCCCACAGATACCAATGATGGGTCACTAGTCCTCCCACAGATACCAATGATGGGTCACTAGTCCTCCCACTGATACCAATGATGGGACTAGTCCTCCCACTGACACCAATGATGGGTCACTAGTCCTCCCACTGATACCAATGATGGGTCACTATTCCTCCCACTGATACCAATGATGGGCAGTATTCCTCCCACTGATACCAATGATGGGGCACTATTCCTCCCACTGACACCAATGATGGTCACTATTCCTCCCACTGATACCAATGATGGGTCACTATTCCTCCCACTGATACCAACGATAGGGCACTATTCCTCCCACTGATACCAACGATGGGTCACTATTCCTCTCCCACTGATACCAACGATGGGTCACTATTCCTCCCACTGATACCAATGATGGGGCACTATTCCTCCCACTGATACCAATGATGGGGCACTATTCCTCCCACTGATACCAACGATGGGTCACTATTCCTCCCACTGATACCAATGATGGGGCACTATTCCTCCTACTGATACCAATGATGGGACACTATTCCTCCTGCTAATATCAATGATGGGGCACTGTTCCTCCCACTGATACCAATGATGGGGCACTATTCCTTCCACTCATGCCTATGATGGGGCACTATTCCTCCCACTGACACCAATGATGGGGCACTATTCTTCCCACTAATACCAATGATGGGGCACTACCCCTCCCACTAATACCAATGATGAGACACAATTCCTTCCACTGATATCAATGATGGGGCACTATTCATCCCACTAATACCAATGATGGGTACTATTCCTCCCACTGACACCATTGAGGGGGGGACACCAATGCTACATAATTCCTCCACTAATGCCAGGGATGGGGCACTATTCTTCCATCTGATACCAATGATGGGGCACTATTCCTCCCACTAATACCGATGATGGGGCACTATTCCTCCCACTAATACCGATGCTGTAGTTCTAATTCCTCCCCACTGATACCTGATGATGGGGCACAATTCCTCCCCACTAATGCCAATGATGGGGCACTATTCCTCCCACTGACACCAATGATGGGGCACTATTCCTACCCACTGATACCAATGATGGGGCACTATTCCCCCCCACTGACACCAATGATGGGGCACTAATCTCCCCTCCACTGACACCAATGATGGGGCAAACTAATCCCCCCACTGATTACCAATGGGGAGCTATTCCCTCCCACTGATACCAATGAAGGGGCACTATTCCCGCACCCATTGATACCAAAATATCAATGGGCACTATTCCTCCCACTGATACCAATGATGTGGGCACTATTCCTCCCACTAATACCAATGATGGGGCACTATTGCTCCCCACAGACACACAATAATGGGGCACAAATCCCTCCCACTCATTGCAAAGATGGGGGGGGGGCACTATTCCCTCCATCTAATAACCAATGAATTGAGGACACAATTCCTCCCACACTGAATACCAATGATGGGGCACTACTCCACCCATTACATACATAATGATGGGGCACTAATACTCCCACTAAATCAAATGATGGGGCACAATTCACCCCCCCACTGACACCAATGATTGGGGCACTACTCTCCCCCCACTGATACCAATTAATGGTCGGCACTATTCTTCCCACTTGACACCAATGAGATGGGGCAATATTCCCCCCACTGACACCAATGATGGGGCACTACTCCCCCATTAGGCGCGATACCAAATGATGGGGCGCTTTTCCTCTCCTCCCCACTGACTAACCAATGATGGGGAGCTAATCCTCCACTGGATAACCAATGATGGGGCACTACTATCTTCCCCACTAATACCACTGATAGGAGCAACTATTCCTCCCCACTGATTACCACTGATGGGGCACTAATTTTCCTCCCACCAGACCACCAATGAAGGGGCACGATTCCTCCCACTGATACCAAATGAATGGGGCACTATTCCTGCCCACTATGATACCAATGATATGGAGCACTATTCCTCCCACTAGATAAACCAAATGATGGAGTACAACTATTCCTCACCACAGATACCAAAGATGGGCACTATTCCACCCACTGATTCCAATGATGGGGCACTATTCCTCCCACTAGAATACCAATGATGGAGCACTATTTCCTCCCACTGATGACCAAATACGATGGGGCACTATTCCTCCCACTGATACCAATGATGGGGCACTATTCCTTACTACTCCATGGAGGGGGGGGGAGGGGGGGGGGGGGGGGGTGGGGGGTGGGGGGGTGGGGGGGGGGTTTTTCGCGGGCGGGGGGGGGGGGGGGGGGGGGTGGGGGGGGGGTACCCCTCCCACTATACCAAAGAATGGGGCACTAACCCCTCCCACAAATACCCAATGATGGGTACTACTCTCCCACTGATACCATGATGAGACACAGAGTCCTCCACTGAATATCAATGGTGGGGCACTAACACAACTCTTCCCCAGTAATACAATGATGAGACAGCTATTGCCTCCGCATTAATACCAAGTGATGGGTACTCATCCTCCTACTGACACCTTTGATGGGGCACTATTTTGATTCCTACCCACTGACACCAATGCTGGGGGACACTATTCCTCCACTAATGCCGAGGGATGGGGCACTATTCTTCCATCTGAAATCACAATGATGGGGACACTTATTCCTCCCACTAATACCGATAGGGCACTATTCCCTACCACTAATACCGATGATGTTCGCAACAATTCCTCCAACTGATACCCAATGATGAGGAGCAATTCCCCCTCTGATGACAATGATGGGGCACTAATCCTCCCCACTGATACCAATGATGGATGTCACTATTCCTCCCACTTATATCACCAATGATGGGGCACAATTTCCTCCCACTTATAACCAATGATGGTGGCATCTATTCCTCCCACTGATATACCGAATTATGGAGCACAATTCCTCCCACTTGATACTACCAATGATGGGCACTAATATCCTCCCACTGACACCAATGATGGCACTAATCTCCACTAATACCAAGATGGAGCACATTCCTCCTCCACTAGATAACCAAATGATGGGGCACTATTCCATTCCACTGACACCATGATTGGGCACTATTCCTCCCACAAATACCAAATGAAGGAGAAACTATTCCTCCCACTAATAACCAATGAGGAGCACTATTCCTCCCACTGATAACCAAAGATGGGGCACTATTCCCTCCCACAGACAAACCAATGATGGGTAGCACTATTCCTCCACTAATATCAATGATGGGGCACTATTCCTCCCACTACAATACACAATGATAGGGGCACTATATCCTCCACTGACACCAATGATGGGTGGGAGAAAAAAAAGAAAAAAAAAGGGAAAAAAACATGGAACTAAAAACACTCAATTCCTCCCGCTATACTAACAATGAATGGTACACTATTCGCTCCACGCTAATTAACAATGGATGGGACAACTATTTCCTCCCACTGATACCAATGATGGGGCAGCTAATCCTCCCACTGATACCAATGATGAGACACAATTTCCTTCCACTGAATATCAATGATGGGGGTCACTATTTCATCCCACTAATACCAATGATGGTGCACTATTCCATCCCACTAATACCAATGATGGGGCACTACCCCTCTCCACTAATACCAGGGATGAGACACAATTCCGTTCCACTCGATATCAATGATGGGGCTCTAATTCAACCCGTCTAATACCTGCACTGATGGTGGCACTAACTCTCCCAAAATATCCAATGATGGGCACTACTCTTCCTCAGTAATACCAATGATGGAGCATACTCTTGCCCAGAGTAATACTCAAAGGATGGGGACACTTCTTCGCAGTAATACCAATGATGAGACAGCAATACTCCCACTGAATACCAAATGATGGGTGGACACTATTCCTCCCATTAATACCAATGATGGCGGTACCATTTCCTCACACTGGGGGACTCCTTTGAGTGTGCACAATCCTGCCCACTTAGACACCAATGCTGGACACCTATTCCTCCCTCTATTACTGACACCAATAGCTGGGACAGCTATTCCTCCCACTTGATACCAATGATGTGGCACTATTGCCTCCCACTGAAACCAATGATGGGGCACAAATCCCCTCCAACTTGAGATACCAATGATGGGACACTATTCCCACCCACTGATAACCAAGTGAATGGGGCACTATTCCTCCACAGATACACCAATGATGGGCACTAATTCCTCCCACTGACCACAATAGATGGGACGGTCCCCACTAATACCAATGATGGGGCACTATTCCTCCCACTGATAACCAATGAATGGAGCACTATCCTCCACCCAGACACCAATGATGGGGCACACTATTCCTCCCGCCCACTGGGCACAAACCACTGATCAGCCAATTACTGGGGCACTATACCTCCCACTAATTGATCCAATGATGTGGGCACTATTCCTCCCACTAACACCAATGATGGGGCACTATTCCTCCCACTAATAACCAATTTGTGGGGGGGCACAATTCCTCCCACTAATACCAATGATTGGGCTCACTATTCCTCCCACTGAAATACCAATGATGGAGCACTATTCCTCCCACTGATACCAATGAATGGGGCACTATTCCTCCCCACTGATACCAATGATGGGGCACTATTTCCACTAATAACCATGTTGATACCACAATGATGGGGCACTATTTCCTCCCCACTGATACCAATGATGGGGCACTATTCCTCCCACTGATACCACCAATGATGGGGCACATATTCCACTCCACTGATACCAATGATGGGGCACTATTCCTCACTAATACCCATGTGATTACCACTGATGGGCACTATTCCCGCCCAACTGATACCAATCAAATGATGGGGCACTCTATTCCTAGCCTCCCACTGATACCAATGATGGGGCACTATTTCCTCCCACACCAATGATGAGAAATACCAATGATGGGGCCCACTATTCCTCCCACTAATAACCAATGATGGGGCACTATTCCTCCCACTGATACCAATTGGTTGGAGTCCCACTATACCAGATTCCAATTCCTTCACTGATACACAATGATGGGGCACTATTCCCCTAATACATGTTCACATACTCTTGACACCAATGATGGGGCACTATTCCTTCCACACTGAACACCAATGATTGGGGCACTAATTCCTCCCACTAATACCAATGATGGTTGCACTACTATTTTCCTTCGGCTCCTCCCACCAAAGGCGCTATGTAATTTTTTTACTTCAACTGACCACCAAGCCAGAGGAGAGATTGTGGATGGCATTTTCTACACCCCTTGGCCACAGTCCAGATCCAGCCCCCCTTGAGGTCTGAAGAACAGTATATTGGACCTTTGTCCCACTAGATAGTTTTAAAGACCCCCTGAATAGAAATATTTACCGGTATATGTTGGAAAAAAAATGTAACATCGAATAATGCTTATGATAATGTCTTCAATTATCTGTATGCACAAGCTGATTGCAGGAACACCAATGTATACTCTGCATTATTCTTTTCACAGAAAGGAATGAACATCCTTCACTATTGTGCTTTCCACGGACTGGAGGACATTTGCGAGGACGTACGTGGCTCATTTGATGCAGGAATTCTAATAATCAATCATTGCAGTAAACAATGTGAGTAGTGAGCATGTTATCCCGATACCAATTATCCTTTTGAGCTAAAAGCAAAGTTCAAGTTGTTGACAATGAGGGTTACCCCTGAATCTATGTAAGCACTTGGAGGGGTCCTATACATTATCTATCAAGAGGATGGTTCACAGTCACTGAGATAGGACCCAATATTTCCAATCCAGGCAACAATCATGATACCAATGTAGGTGTTTAGTCCAGAGCCATTATCAGCATTTGAACCCTCATCTATGAACACGAATTATTTTTTAATATTTTGGAAAATGTCCAATAAGTGATTGTGTCTACTATTCCTCCCAATAAAAATTGGGAAACCTCCTTTAAACCGCACATATGGTGAATCCAAGTATTTGCCTATTCCTACTGGAGAGAAAAGTCTTGGTATGTCCTAGTGAGAAGAGTATAACCATTCGTCATCTCTAAGTGACCCTGTCACGAACTAAAGCCCCTCTCCTAGGCAGGACAAAGGGCAGTCAAAGGCCAGCCAACTTCAGCAATGTTAGATCCTGTTGCGTGTAAGAATATATCCACATAGAATGTAGAATAGGAAATGACATATGTAATGGCTAAGATTCTAAGCAGTTCCATTACTCTAAGGCCTCAGCTGTCCAGCTAATAAATGGCACAGCATTTATAACCTACAGGCCTGCACCAAGCAAGAAACGATCGTAGGGTGTGCAAGCTACAGCCAAGATCCTAAAGTGGCTAATTGTGAATTACTTTTACTAGCCCACCACCACCACCTTACTATTTTCAACAATGTGTTCTAATAAATTGCTGATGAATTTTATTAATTCTTGTCTAATCAATGGATTCTTGACTAATCAATGAATTCTAGTCTAGTTAATGGATTCTAGTCTAATTAATGGATTCTAGTCTAATTAATGGATTCTTGTCTAACTCATGGATTCTTGTCTAACTCATGGATTCTTGTCTAACTCATGGATTCTTGTCTAACTCATGGATTCTTGTCTAACTAATGAATTCTAATCTAATTAATTAATGGATTCTAGTCTAATTAATGAATTCTAGTCTAGTTAATGGATTCTAGTCTAATTAATGGATTCTAGTCTAATTAATGGATTCTTGTCTAACTCATGGATTCTTGTCTAACTCATGGATTCTTGTCTAACTCATGGATTCTTGTCTAACTCATGGATTCTTGTCTAACTCATGGATTCTTGTCTAACTCATGGATTCTTGTCTAACTCATGGATTCTTGTCTAACTAATGAATTCTAATCTAATTAATTAATGGATTCTAGTCTAATTAATGAATTCTAGTCTAGTTAATGGATTCTAGTCTAATTAATGGATTCTAGTCTAACTCATGGATTCTTGTCTAACTCATGGATTCTTGTCTAACTCATGGATTCTTGTCTAACTCATGGATTCTTGTCTAACTCATGGATTCTTGTCTAACTCATGGATTCTTGTCTAACTCATGGATTCTTGTCTAACTCATGGATTCTTGTCTAACTCATGGATTCTTGTCTAACTCATGGATTCTTGTCTAACTCATGGATTCTTGTCTAACTCATGGATTCTTGTCTAACTCATGGATTCTTGTCTAATCAATGAATTCTTGTCTAACTAATTAATTCTAATCTAATTAATTAATGGATTCTAGTCTAATCATTGAATTCTTGTCTAATTAATGGATTCTAGTCTAATAAAGGAATTCTTGTATAATCGATGGATTCTAGTCTAATCACTGAATTCTTTTCTAATCAATGGATTCTTGTCTAATGGATTCTAATCTAATTAATTAATGGATTCTAGTCTAATCACTGAATTCTTGTCTAATCGCAGTTTTTTTGTGTAACCAATGGATTCTTGTCTAACCAATGGATTCTTGTCTAACCAATGGATTCTTGTCTAACCAATGGATTCTTGTCTAACCAATGGATTCTTGGCTAACCAATGGATTCTTGTCTAACAATGGATTCTTGTCTAACCAATGGATTCTTGTCTAACCAATGGATTCTTGTCTAACCAATGGATTCTTGGCTAACCAATGGATTCTTGTCTAACCAATGGATTCTTGTCTAACCAATGGATTCTTGGCTAACCAATGGATTCTTGGCTAACCAATGGATTCTTGGCTAACCAATGGATTCTTGGCTAACCAATGGATTCTTGGCTAACCAATGGATTCTTGGCTAATCAATGAATTCCTGTGTAATCAATGGATTCTTGTCTAATTAATGGATTCTTGTCTATTCAATCTAGTCTAATCAATCAATTCTAGTCTAATCAATCAATTCTAGTCTAATCAATGAATTATTGTCTAATCAATGGATTCTAGTCTAATCAATGGATTCTTCTCTAATTAACGGATTCTTGTGTTATGATTGGATTCTAGTCTATTACAGGTCATACATGAGTCGAATTCCAAACTCATTTTCTTTAGAAAACCTGCAAATTTCTTTCCTTTTGTAATGCGATGGTACCACCATTGATTTTGAAATTCGACCAACCAAGCCTTTAAGTTCACCTCATGTTCCTATATAAAAGAATTTTCGTGGCCAAGAATTTTTTTTCTTTCTAGGTCACAGCTCACGCTCATTTCTCTTTCAATTACATTCCTCACATGATTCTCCCATCATTGATTAGAAATTCATTCGTATTTTGAAAAATTTCCAACATACCCGATCACACAAATTCGATGGCCGCTTGAAAATTGGCAGTTGCTGTGGCTTATTAATGGTATGATATTCGAATGAAAATTCTTAAAAAAGATTTTCGAAAGAAAAGTCTTCCTGAATTCGACCCGTGTATGGCCGCCTTAATCAGTGAACTTTTTGTCTAGTCAATTAATTGTTGTCTAATCAATGGATTCTTGTCTAATCATTGGATTCTTGTCTAATCAAAGGATTCTTGTCTAATCAATGGATTCTTGTCTAATCATTGAATTCATCTAATCAAAGGATTCTTGTCTAATCAATGGATTCTTGTCTAATCGTTGGATTCTTGTCTAATCATTGAATTCTTGTCTAATCATTGAATTCTTGTCTAATCATTGAATTCTTGTCTAATCAATGGATTCTTGTCTAATCATTGCATTCTTGTCTAATCATTGCATTCTTGTCTAATCATTGAATTCTTGTCTAATCATTGAATTCTTGTCTAATCAATGGATTCTTGTCTAATCATTGCATTCTTGTCTAATCATTGCATTCTTGTCTGATCATTGAATTCTTGTCTGATCATTGAATTCTTGTCTGATCATTGAATTCTTGTCTGATCATTGAATTCTTGTCTGATCATTGAATTCTTGTCTAATCAAAGGATTCTTGTCTGATCATTGAATTCTTGTCTAATCATTGAATTCTTGCCTAATCAAAGGATTCTTGTCTAATCTCTTAGATTGTAAACTCTAACAAGCAGGGCCCTCTGTTGCAATGTCTACCTTCATTTTGAAAAACGCTGTGCAAACTCTTGGTTCTATATAAATCCTGTATAATAGTAATCACTGAATTCTTCCTCCAGCAAAAATCAAGTGCTCTGCACATCGCAGTCCTGCAGAATTTCCCAGCTATGGTGAAGCTTTTCATTGACTGTGAATGTGACCTGGATCTCACAGATTATGTAAGTTTTGTGACTGTTGGCTCTCCTTTGTGTTATGTTACCTGTTAAAATACCAGATGTTGGTGTCAGTGAGGAAGTACGCACCTTGTTGTTGAGATGACATGCACTACATAAAATGTGACTTGCAGCAAATTTGATGCTTGACGCTTCATAATGCAGTGAAAGAGCAATGAAGAAACCTCAAGTAAAGCTTGAATTGAAGTATTCCCACCAGGGGCGTCCTTAGGGTTGGTGTCACCCGGTGCGATAACACGTCCCCCCCCCCCCCCCCCGACGATTCCGGCAGGATGGATCGGATCTGCGGATTGAGCATAATGGATCGGAGTCCGATCCATTATGCTCCCCAATCCACAGATCCGATCCATCCTGTGGGCATCGTCTGCATGCAACCTATACGTGGTGACACCGGACCCGCTCCACAAAAAGGTAAGTTGTAAAACAAGCCCACGATCCCCCCAGGATGGATGGGATCTGCGAATTGGGGAGCATAATGGATCGGAGTCCAATCCATTATGCTCAATCCGCAGATCCCATCCATCCTTTACAACTTACCTTTTTATGGAGTGGGTCCGGTGTCACCCCGCACGGTAGGTGACACCCAGTGCGGCGCGCACCCCTCACACCTGCCTAGGGACGCCCCTGATTCCCACACAGAAGTGTGAAATAGCCCCACACTGGAATAAAGATATCGGCTTTAGATCTGAAAGACAAATCCATTCATTGAGATAAAATGGGATTTGTAGTTTCATCTTTTTTGAGTCTGTAAAGGTAAAACCTGAGTTAAGCATTTTTAGCGTAAGGCTAGGTTCACACCTATGCAGTTTACGTTTGATCTGGTTTTGCGGTGCATTTTGTGTTTTTGATGCATTTTGCGGTTTTTGTTTTACTTGTTGCTAGGCAGATTAAAACGCATAGAAAATGCATCAAAAACACATAAAAACTGCATCAAAAAACACACTACATGCTTCTCTGCAGCATCTCCATTGAAGTCTATAGAATCAAAAATCGCAAAGTTTTTTCGGTTCAAAAAGTCCCTGACCCTTTTCCAAAAAAACACACCGGGTGAACACGCGGAGATGTGAACCTGTCCCAAAGGAAATCATGTTAAATGGACTGTACTGTGTATCTCCGTAAAAGGCAGTGGAAAACGCATAGGTGTGAATCTAGACTAATGCAAGGAAAAAAATGTTTAGGCTTTATAACCACTTTAATGGTAAGGATGACATTTATTCACATCTGGTTCTCATGGCTTTGTTGTCCTCGCAGAGGTTGCAGACTCCTCTTCATATTGCGGCAGAACATGGACGGCAGGACATGGCGGAAATGATACTCATTGCAGGTGTAAATCTGAAGCTACAGGACAAGGTATAAAAAAATGTCAAAAGATAATAGAGTGACACCATAGGATTGGTTTACACAGATCTCCTACAGTGACTATGTTCTCCATTCCAGCAAGGAAAAACGTCTCTTGACGTGGCTGCTCGAGGAAATCACATAAACCTGGCAGATATGATCGTCAAGGCAGACAGGTTCTACAAATGGGAGAAGGTACAGAATCCGCTCTGCATTTATATTATGTAGAAGTCCTCACGCACACGGGATGTTTTTACAGCGGCTGTTTTTGGCTTTTGACGTTTTTTTTTCTACAGCCAGTAAACCCCCCAGCATGTTATCCTATGTGTCCATTCACACATAGACTGGAATCAGCGTTTTTTGGCTGGAAAAAAAAAAACAGGACTAGTGGGTTTCTAGAGGAGTTTTTTAGCTGGAAAAACGCTCTAATGCTGAAAAACGTGGTAAATCAGCATTTTTTGCTTTTTTTCTTTTTTTTTTTTTTTTTTTTTACTAAAAAAAAAAACCTCTAAAAACCGCAAATGCAAATAAACGCTGCTAAATGCTAATACAAAACCGCTAAAAAACTCACGTGTTTAACGTGACTTTACACAGCTAACGTTACCGGCGTTATTAACCACCTCCCGTCCGGCCGTTGTATATAAACGGCCGGACGGTGGCAGTGCAGGGGTGAGTGGCCGTTTATAAACAGCCTTCCCCGCACCCTGCTTGTGCGCGCTCCCTGGGAGCACGCAGCACCGCGATCCGGTGCCTGCTGTGTCCTCCGGACACAGTGGAACACCGATCGTCGTACGGGACCTCTGTGCGAGGTCCTGATCATGTGATCACTGATTGGCCAATCAGTGATGACATGCAGAGTAGTAAGCAAGATGTCACTTCTGACATCATTGCTTACTACTAGTGCAAACTGAATGATCACAGAGATCACATGGTACAGGGCTATTCACAACAGCCTTGTACAATGTGACAAGCTGTGACCAATCCCAGCTCACACAGTAGTTCTCAATGGCTGCAGGAATGCAGCCAGAGAGAAGAAGAAATGATTGCTTTTACAGCCTTTATGGGTGTAAAAGCAATCAGTGTAAAAAAAAAAAAAAAAATCTTCATCACCCCCCACAAGTAGTACAGTGTCACCATTGTGACAATGTACTGCTGGGTGACAGTATATAAATAATAATATATAAAAAAATTAAATAAAAATGTAGAAAAAAATGTTTAAAAATTATAATTTTTGGATTATAAACTAATTTGGTTATTTTTTTTTTACTAAAAAGATAACTGAATACATTTTGGCCAAGATTTATGATGAAATATTATTTATTTTTTATAAAAAAAACACTTTTTTCAAAATTTTGGGACTTTTTCATTTACATAGCAAACAAAATAAAAATCCCCAGTGGTGAATAAGTATCACCAAAATAAAGTTTTATCTGTCTCAAAAAAATGCTAAAAAATTCATATGGGTACAGTGTTGCATGACCGCGCAATTGTCATTCAAAGTGTGATAGTGCTGAAAGCTGAAAATTGGCCTGGGCAGGAAGGGGGTAAAAGTGTCCGGACTGGAAGTGGTTAAAACGCCCCGTGTGCATGGAGCCTTATTGCTCTGCATATTATTAAAGGATACAAGCGAGCGCTGGGTATCAAGCTGCTTGCATAAAGGTGAAACCTCTTACCCTCTAAATAAATATGTAAACAGATATGCAGCGCTAAAGGACAATAAGGTGAAGTTAGTGCAGGCGCCTTGTAGCACTATAAGTGATCAAAAAAGTGAATCATCCAAAGTTGACGTACTGACAAAGTGAACAAACAAATGTAAATCGGATGTAATAAAGTGACTTGAGTGATTTTTGACATATATTTATAAAGCCCAGCAATAATGTGATCCGTGTTGGCGAAAGCCGTGACTGAAGCTGATAATGTGATTGCACTCACCAGAAGCGCAATTTAAAAGCACATTGTTGAGTTAATAATATCCCGTCATGGTCATCTGGGTATGGATAAGGATGGTGGAAATCATCTGGCACACGTTCGGCATGCAAGGTAACTTCGGACCTCTCTCACAGTATCCAGGGACATCTCGTCAGATCTCATAGACCACTGGATGGGAACACAGTAAGAACTGGGGAAACTCCACCTTGGAGGCTCGTCAATAACGACTTCCATGCGGCCTCAGCGGTGTGACGTCACAACTGCTAGGCTCCTCCCTTATGCGTTTCGTGCTCGTGCACGTTTTCATACAGGTGGTTGGGAGGGAAGTTGTGATATGGATCCAGTCATCTGAACGGTCATTCAGGTGGAGCAGTGGCTTAAGAATAGCCATAGCAGCCCATGTGTCAGCTATGGTGGAAGGGAGAATGTCACCAGCACACCGAGGATCACCAATATGGGTCCAGAAGTTTTAATGAACGATCACATAGTTACAGCAAGGCAACGTTTCGGAGTCATGCAAGGACCCCTTCATCAGGCATGTGGAAGGGGCCCCATTAGGGGACCTTATGAAGCAATTTAAACATGGAAAGTCTGGGTGCATGTGAAGATAATACATATCAGTCACTGTATTATTAAGCTTTGCAGAGGTTGCTGTTGACTTGACCCTACACCCCCTGTGACACCTCCAACCACCCAAGAAGGCCTGATATCAGACATAGCAGAGGAGACTTCAGATTCTTTGCAGGCTGTCCAGTAGGGAGAAATTGTTTAGCTGGTGATTTCAGCTATTTTTGGTGGTATCACCTAAAAATGTTAATATCCAGGTATATTTTGTGCATTTAGGAATACATCCAGCCCTATTTTAAAACAGTCTACTGAGCCGAGCAGAACACGTTTTTGAGGGAGTCTATTCCACATTTTCACAGCTCTTACTGCGAAGAAGCCATTCCGTATATTTACTCCAGATATAAAGAGTGCCCCTTGCAGGGCTGTCTTAATGTATGGACACCCCTGGGCACTGCCAAAAGGCCCCAGGTGTATGGGGGCCCCATAATAATCTTGCATTGCATTAAAATTGACAGCTGTCCCGGATTTGCCAGGACAGTCATGCTTTTTATGAAGCTGTCCCAGGATGGCCCAGGCAGCATCCCAGAACAGATCTCAGTATTGTGCCCTCCTGACTCCCCCCTGTCCTGTGCCCTTTGTGTTTGTTAGTCTTTGATTTAATGCATGCTTTGTTATTGTTTAAAATCAATTTTATTGAAAGTACTAATAATTATATGTTTAATTCTATCAGCTATTTTTACTTTAATTCTTGAGATTAGATGCTTAAAATTGGGGCAGGCTGGTAGGGGCCCCAGTGCATTACTTTGTGCAGGGACCCATGATGCTGTTAAGACAGCCCTGCCCCTTGTCCTCTTTAATGACTGTAAATGTTGACTCCACAAGGCCCGGACTGGGACAAAAAAATAGGCCTAGGTGTTTTAGACTGAGAAGCCCTTTTTTTTTTTTTTTTTTTTTTTTTTCTTAGACAAAATTACAAATAATGCCAACTACTGGTTTCTCGGTGTCTTTTATTTATATTTAGCCTGCTTCGGTCACTGTAATTTATCAATCATTTGGAATTATGTAAATTATTATATTTTTTGGCAAACATTTTTTTATATTCAAAATTTTAGGCATGTCATTTTTTATATTCTAAAATCACTGGACATTAGCTCAGCTGATGGTTCTAGAGATTACGCTCATTACTGACTGGTTGCTAGAGGTTACTGCACATCATTACCGTTCACTGATTGGTTGCTAGAGGTTACTACACATCACTACCACTCGCTGCCTGGTTGCTAGAGTTACTGCATATACTGAGCAGAGGATAACAGAAGGTAAAGTGAAGGCAGCATATCAGTACACCAAAGAGTTAAACACAATCACAAATAGTTTTTTTTTTCTAATAGTTTGCACTCGCTTTTTCTCCCTGGCTTATGGTGTCTGCAGTAGGTGGCAGCAGTGACACCTATTCCCGACATCAGCCCATCAGGTTTTCCCCTAGCTACTTTCCCTTCGCAGCCATCTGACCTGTCATTTCTGCCCCCCTGGCCCTGGCAGCTGAACACTGTACAATGAAATGAAAACGAGAAGCGCACCAAACCTTGCGCATTAACTCAGTAACCAAAATTTATTAATTGTAAAAAATATACTCACAAACAGCGAATGAAATCAGGCATGTAAGTCCTCACAGGGACTTGAAGATAGCGTGAGTCCCATCAAGGGAATGGGTGTTCGGTATAAGCTGATGCGTTTCGAAGGGGGTCCCTTCTTCATCAGAGCTTAACAGCCAGCTGTAGAGAGTTCTGGTGAGCGGCGCGGGCTCAAGGAACAGCCCAGATGCTGCAGCTGTTTTGAGAGCCCCAAGGCATGCGGCTGGGTGGCAGCCCTGGCCCACTGGGCTAATACCCGGTGTGCCTTATGACCAGTCCAGGCCTTGGCCCCACTAACCATTGGAAAATTGAATGAATGTTCCAAAATCAATTGTTTTCTAAATTAAAAAAAATGGTTTATACCCGTCATTAAAACTTACACTGACTCCCAGAGACTTTAAGTACTGAAAAATAATTGTGTGGGGGGGGGGAGCTACAGGACAGAGCAGGACTAGACCATTACTGATTTATTCCCTGCACCAATGTTCTTCACCCCCCTTCCCTGACAATCTATCAGCAGCACTGGTTCATAGTAATATACTGACTAAGATGACACCTCTCCTGCTTCTAGTCCTTGATTTAGATATACTTTGTTAGAAGGTCAACTAATGCCCCACCCCAGGCGAACGTGCCAAACTGCACATTCTCCCCCCAAGTTGTATGACCATTATGTGTCAGCAAAGATCCCTCCCCCAAAGAAATTGAGCACTAATCTGCATGTTTATCTCCTAAGCATAAATTCCCCCTCTTCCAAGTACAAATTTCCCCCCCCTTTATGAAATCCGCCCTCTCAGGACAAATCTTTGCCCGCCCTATCCCCACTCCTGTCAGATCAGGACTATATAGGGTTTGCTTACCTGCCACCTACCCACATTCTTTGCTGGAAGGGGGATGGGGGAGGGTAAACAAGACCTGCACAGTCCTAATCTGACAGTCCTAATCCAGAAGCACTGCAGTAGCAGGAGGTCAGATCTAGAGGGGAGAGAGAGCACAGCTTGCACCTCCTCCCACCTCTCTCCTCTCCAAATTTATCTTGTCACTTTGAGCGCTAAGCTGACAGAAGTATTGATGTGGTTGTCACTTCTCCTTCTAGCTTGTAGTGGCAGGAACTCTCCTCGTGCTCCCCCCTCATCTCACATGATACCACAGTGTCCAGGGCAGTCGCCCCTCCTCGCCCTGCCGGGGGCCACCCTTATGATTTTTCTCCATGATCTGTGATTATGCCCTTTAGGCAGAAATATTTCCAGAGGACTACATATGATTTACATGTGCTTTCTTCCTTACTACAGGACAATCTGAATAGTGACTCTGACTCCTGGGTGGCCAGGCATCTGACCTTCAAACAAGACCATCGACTAGAGACACAGCACATTCGATCCGTCATCTGGAGACTGGCAACGAAATACCTAAAACCTATTGAATGGAAGAAGCTGGCGGTGTACTGGAAGTTCACAGATGCCCACATCCGGGCAATAGATCAGCAATGGACAGGTAAAGACTACATTGCCTGTACTGGTGTACCAATTGGAGTAGAGAATAAAAGCTGAAATGACTTAATGATCATAAAACTCCAAAATCATTAATGCTATGAGAATATTCATGTCTAGAGATATGTCCCAGGGAAATTCTGTGCAAAGTAACAGGTAAAATGCATTAGGAACATCCGGAAGATAATAGATTGTCATGTGTGCCAGTAGGGACCATTTTTGCAAACTCATTTCAGAATCAAATAGCTTCTACTAAAGATCTCTATTAAAGTGGTTCTATAGTAAAGGAAATAAGTATTTGCTCCCCTGCTGTTTTTGAATGTTTGCCCACTCACAAAGAAATGATCGGTCTAGAAATTGAATGTTCGGTGTATTGTAACACAGAGACAGAATAGCAACAAAAAATTCAAAAGAAATGCATGTCTAACAAATGATGACTGATCTGCATGTTCAGGAGGGAAATAAGTATTTGATCCCCTTCACAAAACATGACTTAGTACTTGGTGGCAAATCCCTTGTTGGCAATCACAGAGGTCAGACATTTCCTGTAGTTGGCCACCAGGTTTGCACACATCTCAGGAGGGATTTTGTCCACTCCTCTTGGCAGATCCTCTCCAAGTCATTATGGTTTGGTGGTTGACGTTTGGCAACTCGAAATTTCAGCTACCTCCACAGACTTTCAATCGGATTAAGGTCTGGAGACTGGCTAGACCACTCCAGGACCTTAATCTGCTTCTTCTTGAGCCACTCCTTTGTTGCCTTGGCCGTGTATTTTGGGTCATTGTCATGCTGGAACACCCATCCACGACCATTTTCAATGCCCTGGCTGAGGGAAGAAGGTTCTCACCCAAGATTTGACGGTACATTGCCCCGTCCATCGTCCTTTTGATGCAGTGCAGTTGTCCTGTCCCCTTAGCAGAAAAACACCCCCAAAGCAGAATGTTTCCACCACCATGTTTGATGGTGTTCTTGGGGTCATAGGCAGCATTCCTCCTCCTCCAAACACGGCGAGTTCAGTTGATGCCAAAGAGCTCGATGTTGGTCTCATCTGACCACAACACTTTCAACCGGTCCTCCTCTGCATCATTCAGATGTTCAGTGGCAACCTTCAGATGGGCCTGGACATGGGCTTTCTTGAGCAGAGGGACCTTGCGGGCACTGCAGGATTTCAATCCTTGTCGGCGTAGTGTGCTACCAATTGTTTTCTTGGTGACTGTGGTCCCAGCTGCCTGGAGATCATTGACAAGATCCTCACTTGTAGTTTTGGGATAATTCCTCACTGTTCTCATGATCATTGACACTCCACGAGGTGAGATCTTGCATGGTGCACCAGACCTAGGGAGACTGACAATTGTTTTGTGTTTCTTCCATTTGTGAATGATTGCCCCAACTGTTGTCACCTTCTCACCAAGCTGCTTGGCCATAGTTTGGTAGCCCAGTCCAGCCTTGTGTAGGTCTACAATCTTGTCCCTGACATCCTTGGAACAGCTCTTTGGTCTTTGCCATGGTGGAGAGTTTGGAATCTGATTGTTTGATTGCTCCTGTGGACAGGTGTCTTTTATACAGGTAACATAAGATTAGCAGCACTCCCCTTTAAGAGACTGCTTCTAATCTCAGCTTTTTACCTGTATGAAAGACACCTGGTAGCCAGAAATCCTGCAGAATGATAGGGGATTAAATACTTATTTCGCTCATGAACATGCAAATCAGTGTATAATTTGTTAGACATGAATCTCTTTTGAATTTTTTGTTGCTATTCTGCCTCTGTGTTACAATACACCTACCATTCAATTTTTAGACCGATCATTTCTTTGTGAGTGGGCAAACATTCAAAATCAGCAGGGGAACAAATACTTATTTCCTTCACTGTATAGGCTGGACAATTTTTACTTTAATGCTTTCCCCAGTAAAAAAGGTAAAAAAAAATGTATTTGTTTTGCCCCCCTCACCCCCTGTATACTTCCCTCTAACCATCAGCAGTGGCTCTCTTCTCTCTGCTCACAGAGGTGGCCGCGGGAACCATTGGCTCCTGCTGCTGTCAATCAAATCCTGTGAGCAGGGGGTGGGGCTGAGCCACACTATGTGCGTCTATAGACGCACACAGCCCAGATCGAGAGCAAGCCCTGCAAGGCTTATTATTATAATACAGGATGTATATAGCGCCAACAGTTTGCTCAGCTATTTACAAAATAAAGGGAGACAATGCAGTTCAATAAAAGAGGTCACTGGAAGTTCAACATGGCACCTCATGGCAAAGAAAACTCTAAGGATCTGAGAAAAGGAATTGTTGTTCTACATAAAGATGGCCTAGGCTAGCAAAGTGTCATTTCTTCAGTGTTCTCACATGAAAATATTTACAAAAATGTAAGGGGTGGGCTCACTTCTGTGAGACACTGTAACTATATGGGGTATTGGCAGAAACGCCAAGAGCAAGGGAATTTTTTTTGTGGTACTGAAAGCTAACATGAAAGGTCAATTTGTTTGGGAAAAAAAGCAGAGTATAATCCACCTTAAAACACTCAGTAGTTGCATTTATATGTACAGTTTTACAAACACATACCAAAGTTACAAAACTGAATTTGGCCATTATCACAGTCATGAAGGCTTTAACCACTTGCCGTCCCACTCACAGTACTTATACTGCCAGCTGCGTGCACCATGACAGACTAGTACGTTGCGGTGCACATGTGCACTGGCACGCCCCCTGTGGCGCACAGCGGTACAAGCCCATGACGGCGGCTGGGGTATCATGTGATTGCTATGAATGGTTATAGCAATCACATGGTTACAATGTAAACAAAACAGTCATGATTGCCTTCCATTCATGATGCCGTGATTGGCCCACAGCTATCACATGGTACCTGGACCAATCACAGCATCTTGTACCATGGATTAGTTGGCAGCTGCAGGGACCGCGACATACAAGTAAGTTGCAGTGCACATGCGCACTGGTGCACCCCCCAGGGGCACACAGTGGCGCGATCTCACGATTGCCGTGTTCAGATCACAGCAGATCACGGTGCTCCATACCCAACTGCTGTGAGTGGCCTGGGTGTCATACGATCGCTATAATTGGTCATTTCTTTTTTTGGGGGGGGGGGGGGGGCGCTACAGTAGTTGCAAACCCTTCCATATAGCCAGTGAAGGGACTATCCTCAGGTGATACACAGAGATAAAGCAATCTTCCTACATAAGTTGTACCTGTTTATCTGCAGTCTTCTCTTCTCTACATCCGTTCAAGGTCCAGAAGGTATAAGGCTTGTCTGAGCGTTCAGAAAAAGGGGGGAGGAGAGCTGAAGTTGCACTCTGCAGAGCTCAGTGAGGAGAGCTGATTGGAGGGAAGGGACACACCCCCTTTCATACAGCTCACAGGAACAGAGCTGAGGCCGTCAATCTGCTGGAGGTCCCTTCTCTGTCACCATTTTTCTCTTGGTGTCAGGAAAGCTTGTCAGAAGTGACTCCTGCTGATAGCAGAGGAAGGAGGCAGCAGAGAATAATTGTGCTTAGTGCTCTGGTCTCAGACAAGTCCACACTATAGAGGGATATGCTCTGTTCATGTTTCATGTCTGAGTTTTGCAGTTTTGCAACCACTTTCGTGACAATCGTTATACCAGTAGCAGAAGGAGTAGGAGTAGTAATAGTAGGAGGGGTAGGAGTAGTAGTAGTAGGAGGGGTAGGAGTACTTGTTGCAGGAGGAGGAGTAGGAGAAGGAAGAGCAGTAGTATTTTTAGTAGTAGTAGTATTCGGAGTAGTAGGAGGAGGGGTAGGAGTAGTAGTAGCAGGAGGAGGAGTATCAGGAGTAGTAGTAGGAGGGTTAGGAGTAGTAGTAGCAGAGGAGGAAAAAGAGAGAGGGAGGGAGGAGGTATAAGAGTATGAGGAGGAGTAATAGGAGTGGCAGGAGTAATAGTAGTAGCAGGAGGAGGAGTAGGCGGAGAAAGAAAATGAGTAGTGGTAGTAGGAGGAGTAGTAGCAGGTGGAAAAGGAGTAGTAGGAGTGGTAGTAGCAGGAGGAGTAGTAGGAGTAATAATAGCAGTAGCAGGAGGAGGAGGGGAAGGATAAGGAGTAGTGGTAGTAGCAGGAGGAGTAGTAGGAGTAATAATAGTAGTAGCAGGAGGAGGAGGGGAAGGATATGGAGTAGTGGTAGTAGCAGGAGAGAGTAGTAGGAGGAGTGATAGTAGCAGTAGGAGTAGTGGTAGTAGCAGGAGTAGGAGGAGTAGTAGTAGTAGAAGGAGGAGTAGAATAAGGAGTAATAGTAGTAGGAGGAGTGGTAGTAGTAGTAGAAGCAGGAGGAGGAGTGGAAGTAGCAGGAGGAGTAGTTTGTAGGAGGAGAAGTAGGAGTGGTAGTAGCAGCATGAGGAGTAGTAGTAGGAGTAGTGGTAGTAGCAGGAGGAGGAGTAGTAGTAGTAGGAGTGTTAGTAGCAGGAGAAGGAGTAGTAGTAATAGTAGGAGTAGTAGAGAGTGGTAGTAGCAGGAGGAGGACTAGTAGTAGGATTGGTAGTAGTAGGAGTAGTAGTAGGAGTGGTAGTAGTAGGAATAGGAATAGTAGCAGGAGGAGTAGTAGTAGTAGGAGTGGTAGTAGCAGGAGGAGGAGGACTAGTAGTAGTAGAGAGAAGTAGGATTGGTAGTAGCAGGAGGAGGAGGAAAAGTAGTAGGAGAAGTAGGATTAGTAGTAGTAGGAAGAGTGTAGGAGTAGGAGTAGGTAGGAGGAGTAGCAGTAGGAGGAGTGGTAGTAGCAGGATGAGGAGGAGGAGTAGTAGGAGAAGAAGGATTAGTAGTAGTAGTAGGAGGAGTAGTAGTAGTAGTAGGGGGAGGAGGAGTAATAGTAGGAGTGGGAGTAGTAGGAGAAGTAGGAGTAGCAGCAGGAGGAGTAGTAGTAGTAGGAGTGGTAGTAGCAGGAGGAGGAGGAATAGTAGTAGGAGTAGTAGGAGGAGTGGTAGTAGAAATAGTAGTAGTAGTAGTAGGAGTGGTAGTAGCAGGAAGAGAGGAGTAGGAGTGTAGCAGGTAGTAGGAGTAGGAGTGGTAGTAGGAGTAGGAGTGGTAGTAGGAGTAGGAGTGGTAGTAGGAGTAGTAGTAGGAGGAGAGCAGTAGGAGGAGTAGGAGGAGGAGTAGCAGTAGGAGGAGAGTAGCAGTAGGAGGAGGAGTAGGAGGAGGAGTAGCAGTAGGAGGAGGAGTAGCAGTAGGAGGAGGAGTAGCAGTAGGAGGAGGAGTAGCAGTAGGAGGAGGAGTAGCAGTAGGAGGAGGAGTAGCAGTAGGAGTGGTAGTAGTAGGAGTAGCAGTAGGAGGAGGAGTAGTGGTAGTAGGGAGTAGTAGTAGTAGGAGTGGTAGTAGGAGGAGTAGTGGTAGTAGGAGTAGTAGTAGTAGGAGTAGTAGTAGTAGGAGTGGTAGTAGCAGGAAGAGGAGGAGGAGTGGTAGTAGCAATAGTCGGAGTCTTGCCTCTCTGTAAACTGAGCTAGGATATTGGACGTCACCATACTCCGCGGCACGTCTCACGGATGTGTTTTTCTCACCAGGAAACAAAAGCTACCGGGAGCACGGGCACAGGATGTTACTGATCTGGCTGCATGGAGTGGTGATGGCGGGAGAAAACCCCATTAAAGGATTGTTTGAGGGACTCGTAGGCATCGGGAGGAGAGACCTGGCAGGTCAGCGCCCCCTGCAGTAATATGATTGTATTTGTTATTATAGTCACTGTGGATGGCTGGTGGTTACTACAGATGGCACCTCTATGGTCACCTCTATGGTCACCTCTATGGTCACATGGGGTGCTCACTAGAGATGAGCTTTGGGTTCAAGCAAGCCCAGAAGTTATGTCATTGCTAGGCCAATGAGTTATGGGTGGGAGATTCCCCTGATACTGGCGTATTTAAAGGGGTGGGGATGCTCAGGCCATTCACTATATCCACTCTCCCCGGACCCTGCATTCACTATATCTGCTTTCCCCGGACCCTGCATTCACTATATCTGCTTTCCCCGGACCCCGCATTCACTATATCTGGTCTCCCTGGACCCTGCATTCATTATATCCAGTCTCCACGGACACTGCATTCACTATATCTGCTCTCCCCGGACCCTGCATTCACTATATCCGCTGTCCCCCGGACCCTGTATTCACTATATCCGCTCTCCCCGGACCCTGCATTCACTATATCCGCTCTCTCCCCGGACCCTGCATTCACTATATCCGCTCTCCCCGGACCCTGCATTCACTATATCCGCTCTCCCCGGACCCTGCATTCACTATATCTGCTCCCCCGGAACCTGCATTCACTATATCCGCTCCCCCGGAACCTGCATTCACTATATCCGCTCCCCCCGGAACCTGCATTCACTATATCCGCTCCCCCCGGAACCTGCATTCACTATATCCGCTCCCCGGACCCTGCATTCACTATATCCGCTTCCCCGGACCCTGCATTCACTATATCCGCTCCCCCGGATCTTGCATTCACTATATCCGCTCTCTCCGGACCCCGCATTCACTATAT